AGATTACTACCGACTCACGGTCATCACTGTGCAACTTCACGGTTCACTAGTGTGTAGCAACAATAACTCACGGTCTACCAAGAGCTTTGGATTCTTGGCCCACCAACAGCCTTTTTAAAAAAAAATGAATATAACCTTAAAGTCTCTCCATATCGAATTCGCCCTTTCGCCTCTTTCTCCGCCTTCATCACAAATATCTTTGACCAAGTCGAAAAAAACTCTATGTTCGTGTAATTTATTGGAAAAATCCGAAAAGTTTAATCTCCATCGGAGATATCCCAAAAGAGACCAGTTACTTGTATCAGTTTTGTCAAAGTATTCCATTTTATCAACCTTGATCTATGAAAAGATACCAGAAAAAAATCAAATCGGATATTACATAGCGAAAAATAAAAGCCAAATAATACCTTGATCATGATTTAGTATGAATTTTGATACGCGCGATAAAGTGATCAAATAGTAAAATGTCAGATCATATGATACTGCATATATGTAACCTCGTGTGAAATTTAATTATTTTTTATTTCGTCACTATTATAAAAATTTTTTACTGTAGATTGCCACCAATGCGCACTGCTACGGAAAAACACATTTCATCAAAGGTATATTTTTTTTCAGTCGCGACACTATCGAAGATTTCTTTAAAGCGGGAGCAAATTGCTAAGGTAATATCCGCGTATTGAATTCGTTCAGATCCTGCAATTAAGAGTAATGATTAGTAAATTAATATGAATAATTGAATATTATTGTTTTAGTTAAATTTTACAACTCTACCTTGATAAAAATCAAAAGATAACAATATATAAAAATGAATTTCAAAAGAAAAGAAAAAAATATAAGAACAAAAATATAATAAATAATAATTTTATTAAAGAAAATCATAAGACATTATAAAATAATATAAGAATTTAAAAAAAAACTCTTTCCTAATCATGTCTGTTTTGCTTAAAATTTTCATATATGGTAATTTTGATCAAAAAAATGTTTTACACTCTTTATCACAAGTGAATCCTAGCTTAGGAATTCAAGAACACTAAAGATAACTAGTGCAGTAGGATGGAACCTCTGGTCAAAGTCTACTTAAGTTTGGAAGTCCTTTAGTTGTATGGAGAAAGATCCATGGCAATATGCTTTTATTCTTTGGTTCTTTTATAATCCAAACCCCTTTATTATTATAAAAACTATTTTTATTAATATTATTATAATCATTAAACTTATAAATACTTTCCAAAAAATACATTCAAACAAAATTATAGGATTTAATATTTGTTTCAATACAACCTTTATACACTTTTCTATTCTGGTGTCACTTATTGCACTACTTAAAAAAATTCACAATCTTTTTTAATCTCAAAAACCAAAATCAATTTATTTCCTTCAATTAATCGATATCTGGCAACTATTCAATCAAAATTCACTATATTATCTAAACCAAAACACAAAACTGATTTAAACCAGTTTATCAATTTAACAACAACAACAATAATAATCAGTTTAAATTAGTTTATTAATTCAACAATACCAACAATAATAATAGCTATAATAATAAACAATTTTAAGTATATTCTACTAACAAAAGCCATATTAACAAGTGAAAAAGAATTGAAGAATTGGAATAATAAGCCTGGTTAGAGATTCTCTTAAAGATATAACTTTTATTTTTATAGATTTTATAATTCATTTAACTTAATTTTAGTTTTAGTTACTTTTATTCTTTTCAAATTTTCTAAATATAAAAGTTTTTTTTCTGAATAAAAAAATATAGTCACTATTTAGCCTATATTTAATAATAGTATTGTTTAAAATTTCTTTTCTATATTAGTTAGATATAGTATATATAGGCAAGCTAGCATTTAACTTACTGCAAGTTGTATATAAGAGATGTTATTTCTTTCTGAAATATATATTATAGAGTATATAAATAAATATTTTTTTAATCAAAAAAAAAATAACAATATAAGAATTTAAAATTTTTATACTATAGTTCTAATTGTTCTCTTTTCAAAGCTAAGGAAAATTGCAACCTTTTTTAATATTTTAATCAATTATTGATCATTCTACTATAATTATTTATATGTGGTTTATCTATTTTATATAAGAAAGAACTAAAGAATTATTTTTTTGTTATACTTGAAATACAAAAGGTGAATAAAAGTTTATGAACTACTTTTTTTTTTTTAAATAAAATTTAATTTAAAAATTAATTAAAATTTTTTAATAAAAATATACTCAATATATTGTTATAGGGAAAATATGATGGGTAAATGATAGGAAATTATAAAGGTAAATATATCAGGTATAAGTGGTATATTAGGTATAAAGAATATATCATATATAAAAGGTATATCTGGTATAAATAGTAGATCAGGAATAATATGTATAATAGGTATAAAGTCAATATATATAAGTGACTTGAGAATATATCAAAAGTAAAAACAATTAGAATAGATACTGTGCAATAGATAATTAATAAACTGTCTTTATTAATAAACTGTTTTGTGAAAATACCCCAGTGTATGTAGCTAACGGAATTGCTACATGAGAAAGTAACTCTTTGGGAATACAAGATCAACAGACTGATCTGCATCAAGCGTTACAAACTCTGGCCAAATTCCCACACCTTTTTTGAACAGAAACGAGACCCTATTGTTACATGGCGTGAGACAGATCGAAGCGACTGACTCGCTGTGATTTCACCATAACAATATAAGTGCAATATATTCAATTTTTAAAAATGTATCATTATATAAAAAAATTTTTTTTTATTTACTTGAAAATTTCACTTCAATTTTTGCGTAACTGCTAATACCTGCTAATAAAGAATTAACTTTTAAACAAAAAGTAGCCATAATTTATGGTTACAAAAAAAAGATACCTATTGTAATATCACAGCCAATGTTGAATACAAAAAAAGTGTGGTGGGTAATGTTATAAAGTGTTTTATTGAAACTGAATCTACGGAATTGCGAATATAATGATCGGGATGACTATAACTTCTCAATAAGCATGCTTATACCACCCTAAAAAAACTTGTTACTGGTAAAAAGGATAACAGATGTGTTACTGTCGCAAAACTAACCAATCTATTTATAGCCAAAATGGAAATTCAAGTATTTGAAAAAATCATTTGTTGAATCCTGCATAAAGAACAGTTAAGAAGCTGTATCACCCATCCCAAGCCCTTCCTTTCAAAAAAAAATATTAAAGATCAACTTACTTGATGTTTTGTACATAAAAACTGGACCATTCAGGACTTTAAAAAAATAGTCTGGAGTGACGAGTCTACGTTTACTCAATTCTAGTAAGGGAGTAAATGTCATATTTAGTGTAGTCCACGTAAAGAGTAGAATGTTGAATGTCTTTCTGCCACCATTAACCATAGTCCAAGCCATATGCATTGGAAGTGTTTTTCATGATTCAGTGTTGACTCCCTTGTTCCTTATTGCACCTTGGTTAAAGGTAAAATAAAATGTTTATTAAATAAAAAAAAATTAGTTTTTTTAAAAAAAATAAATTTTTTTTTGATTTACTGTAAAAAAAAAAAATTAGACTTATATTTTTTTCCTTATAGCAAAGTCATATATCACAACTCTCCAAGATTATCTTTTGCCAGCTCTTTAAAATTTTGATAGAATCAATTGGAATTATAGTGGCTGCCCTTGGTTTTAATATGATAATGCAAGGCCACATGCCACGAAAATTATGAAGAAGTTTCTTGCTGATAAAAATATTTAGATTATGGACTAGCCTTCTCGAAGTTCAGATTTTAACTGATTGAAAACCTCTGGCATTATATTAAAGTTTGGATTTGCAAGACCAAATCTAATAATTTAATAGAGTTTGAGGATTGTATTTTAAAATATTGAAATAAGATCAATTTGGCATATTGCAAACAATTGATCAAGAGTATGCCATGTTGTATTATGGCTTGTATCATAGTTAAAGGGAAGGCTACAAAATATTAAAAAAAATATAATTAGCTATATAGATATTTATAAATCAATAAAATATAAATTAATAGTAAAAAAATATATAATTAAATATTTAAAAAATTTTAATTTTTTTTTTTTTATATATTATACCTATTAAATAAGAAATTTGAAAAAATATTTAAATTTTTTTTTCTCAAAAACTATTACATAATTTTTTTTTAAATTTTTTTATTTAAAAGTTTAGTTTTTAAAGATTTTAAATATATTTTTTATTTATTTAATTTTCTATTAATTTAATTTAATTTTTAATTTTTAAAGTTGTCCATAAACTTTTGTCCATCCTTTATAATTATTAAAAAAAATTCTTATCTATATAACAAGAAGCAAAATTACTTAAAATATTACTATGCTAATTGTTTTTAAGTCTCTAATATAGAATTTTTCTCTAGTTATTTCGCAAATAGTTATTTTGAACCATAAAAAAACTTTATAACTTAGGTTTTGAGTTATGATGCTTTGAATTAGTTGTACCATTTGAAATTTAATAGGTGTTTTGAGAATTCTTTGGAAAAATTTTTTTTTTTTAACTGGGTGGCTTACACCTTGTTTATTAAATTTTGTAGGATAAGTATGTACAAATTTATTTATATACAAATTTACTCCTATCTATCTAATTAAACTCACTAAGGATTGTATCCTACTATGCAGCTTATTGCCAAGTACTGATATATACTTAATTAATCTGTCAAGGCTTTACCTGTTCCTAAAAAATTGATTTCGTGAGTGTATATTGTGTTTCAATTAATCTGATGTTGTGTGGCATGTTTAAAGATTATTGTTATTCCATGTGAGTATGTTTTGATTGTTTAGTTTTTCCCTTGTTTGTCTCCCATATTTTTTTATCTTTTTTCCTTATGTTGTTTTTCTTTTCCTATTCAGCGAATTTAATACATCTGATGCTCCATCTGTTTTGAAGCTCGCCAAGGAGGCGGTTGTAGATGTTGTTGAGTGTTTCTTTGAAATTGTCTGGTTGTATATATTTTTTGATGGTATTGATTGTTTTGTTTATAAGCGCTCCTCTTGCGATGTAGTTTTTGATTTCTTGTATTCATGTTTTTTGTTCCTTATTAATTTCTTGATTTAATTTGTGGCCTATTTTCTTCTGTGTTCTGCTGCTTATTTATTCGTTGATTATTTGTTTGAGTTTATTGAAAATTTCTTCTTCTTGTTGGTCACAGATCATTATGTGTGTGTTGGTTTCTGTTTGTTGACATTGGATACATTGATTGTCACCATATGTTTTGATGATCTTGAGTGGAGTTTGTCTTTTGTGGGCAATTCTAGGTTCCAGAGTTTAAACCTGAACGATCTGATGCTATGATCTGTATGGTTTGTAGTACCTGTTGTGATTTTTGATAGGTGCCTGTTTTTTATTGATTCTTTCCATGTAATGTTGTCTTTTGTATGGTTATTTGTTGTTGTAA